CAAACTCAATTTATAGAGGCAGCTAGTCAAAAGGAATTTTTATTCAATATTCATAAGGAAAATGGTAAAAGGCATTCAAGATTTCCTTTATTATATTGTGAAAAACTCTTCAAGTCCTTTTAATTTTATAAATTACCCCTATTGATGGATACTAATTAGTTAATAATAAAGATATTGATTAAAATTGAATGGATATAGGTATTTATACCAAGGTCTACGGTTAAGCAAAACAATGGAGTCAAAATCAAAGGAATCAGTTCTACTAATTAATAATTACTGAACAATCCAGCACAGTCTCAAAACATCTACCTTCTTCCCTTCTCTTCCTGCCAAAATACCTGCAATTACCTCCAACCACCATTGCCTGACTAACTACGGAGGCAATCTTCTGAGCTCCCTTTTGAGAACTACAAATTGGTATAAGGAGTATTCCAGCGGCAGCGGCACAAAGAAATCCGGGTAGGTCTTTGGCTGCAACAAAGTGTTTGCTGTCGTCGTAGTAGTAGTCGCTGATGCTCCACTTTACGCATATGCAAAATATTTAAGTGCAGCCGGCAAAGAGCAAAGCAAAGCCTCAAAACACACTCGACAGGAATCCAGCAAGGCCCAACCTCCAAGCCCCAAACCGCAATTTCACCTTTTAGCCACCCGAAACACCTACTCCATCCCACACACATCGTTTTCGCCCCATTTTCCAGGCTCACATCAAACCATCTGAGGCAGCCCCAATTGCAACCACGCACTCAAAAATGTTAACCGTCTTATTTTTGCAACGTTGGTGATGGCGACGTTTCCTTCCCAAAAGAAAAAAACACCACCTCCTCCTCTACTTCTTCCAAGAACACCACCCAATCCCCTCCCGCCTGCTGCACTGCGTCTGCAACACACATTTCGAGTGCTGCACAAACATTTGCACAGTGAAACGAAGCGATGATGAACTGGTAGGTGTGGGGTGGAAAAGCGGCGCCTAAATGTATGCAGCATATAATTATTGATGGAGTGCGAGAGTGTTGGAGCAGGCCTGAAAATGATGAGTATACTTACAGGCAATAGGGTTGGAGAGGGGATCGGGGAGGTGGTTGTGTGTGTGTGTGTGGACTCCCTGCTAGTTAATGTTGTTAGCAGGTGCTCGAGACATTTGCATATGTTTGTGGTTCATTGCAAGTGCGAATCCATTAACATCAAGTGAAGCATTAGATAGAGTGCACTCAGAAAAGCGGCAAGAGCATCAACATCAAAGTTACAGTAATTTTGAATAAGTTATAAGATTTGAAAAACAAATTTGGTACTTTGAAGATGAACGTTAATCTTTAATGATTTAAGATCCTTCGAACTAAAATTTATACAAAATTACTAAGCAAATTCTCAGAGTGTAAACTATTCTTTGCTGCTGATAGGAGAAATCATGGCAGGGTTTTTGGGGGGAAGACTAAGATGGAGAGCTTTTGAGTGTAGGGAGAGATTCTTAAGTACTCCAGTGCCTGGTTATAATTTTCTCATTAGTCAGCCTAAGAATTTCTATATACCGCAGAGGCAATAAATCCAAGGAATCCCAAAAAAGCAGGAGCGAAAAAATTCCAAAGAAATTCTACAGACAGCAACGGAAATTGAGGGAGTGCAGAAAATATACAGAAAGAGAGAGTGGTGGGAATGTAGAGCTGAAAAGGGAAAAAAAAAGTCAATATAAGGAAATTAATTTCCAAAGTCCAGACCAAGGACCAGAGCTGAAATCGGTAATGTGGTGGTTGGGGGTTAAGGGAAAGACAATCTTGAGGATTGGAGACCAACACATAAAATTCAATTAACCCGCAAATACACACAGAGAAAAGGCGGGTTGGAGTGTTGAAGGGAGTGCAGCCCCTATCCCCTAACACTTGTCAGCTCACTTGAAGGAGTTACTTGGACTTGGTCTTCGACTCCACACACACACACAAACATTCTAACACCCCATACTAACACATATACACATAAAAGCAATTGAAAGAACATGCGAAAAACAATAAAAAGAAATTAAGGTAAAGTAGCCAGCGAAGGGAGGGGCAAAGAGGGCGGAAAAGGGAATCATTGAATCATTTAATTAGCGTTTAGATTGCACACACCACATACACACGCAAACACACACATATACACTCATCCAGCTTATTGAATATGTAAGCTTGTGAGGGTGACAGAGGGGCCAGAACCATTTTCAATTAGTTTGCCAACCAATTTATGCGGCTACTACAAGAAACGAGCCAAAATAATGAAGGAAAGAGGATAACATGGCAATGAGTCTACTTACATATACATATGTGTGTGTGTGTGTGTGTGTATCAGTATCTGTGAGATGGTGAAATACAGTCAGTGCCTTCGTCACATTTTCGGTTAAAGAAAAAGAGCATACCAGACCAAACCAAACCAAAAAAGGAACGGACCAGAACACAAGAGGCCAAGCCAGGACATTCTCCAGGCAGACTGTAAAGGATGAAAACCACAGAAACCGCTACCAACAACAAATAGGCCCAAAGGACTTCACTGAGAAAAGATGTGGAAATCCCTTATTTCGAATTCTGCCTTATCTAAGCTCCTATCTTTTGCGAATCTTGAAGTACCATAAGCTAGTTTGAGGATTTTTAGCATGGAAAATGTCTACTAAATCTACACTTTTTTATACTTTTTAAACCTCAGATTATTGTAACTTTTCTTGAAAATTAACGAATAAGAGATAGATGCAATAATTGAACTTTAAATACAAATTTTATTATAAAAGATTTTGCAATCCCATAAAGAGATGCAAATTTTTCTTAAAGTGCTTATCTGACCCACTAGAGCCGTGGAAGTGAAGCCTCCGCTTCGAATCCGCTCGCAGCCAAAACCACAACAAGCCAAATAAAATGTGTTCTCCTTTCTTTGGCTCGTCTCTTTTTGTACATATAAAAAAATGTACATTATATATATTTTCTTTTTGTTCTCCAGCCAGGCAGACCAATAATGGGGCCTGATAAAGAGAGAGAGAGAGAGAGAGAGAAAGAGGAGTGATAGGGGAATTCAGAGACAAACACAAAGTAGCCGCGGGCAATTCACAAAAGAGTAAAAATTATTGATTTATTTGCAATGGTTTCATTATCCACCCACAGCTGGACCTCCTGCGAGATCATTTCTATAATAAAAAACACAACGACAGAGGCAGGAACCGCAACGAACAGAAACCAGACATCCTTTAACAATTATTATTCAATATTTACAGACAGATATGAACCATTGATTATCAAGATTAATGGGGGAGAAAATTTAAGTTTAATTTGTCGGAAAATTCGGAAAAATTCTCTAGATTTGGATCTTTGAAATGGGAAAAAGTCAAAGGAGTAGCTCGAAACTTTAAACCAATCAATTATACTTATATAAAAGAAGTGCACATGGAAAGATGTATTAAAGTCAATTTAAGTGATTTAATAAATGAGTTTAAGCCACTTCATTATGGGCTACAGCTTTTGCCTTTTATTTAAAAGGAAAGAATTATTAATTAATTCTGCCACTGAAAATGTAGAACGAAGTTATGCAAATCCTATCCTTTAAGAGGAATAAAAGCAAATTCCCGATAATTATTTACCAGTATTCAAAAAAAAAGTATAAAAAGTAATTTGTATACAAAAGTAAAGCTTCATGTACAATAGATATGGCTATGTAAAATGCAAAGGCAGAGGTATACAAAAAGCCAATCATATGCAACGGCTACATAATAAATAATGTCAACACTTACGCTCCGGAGTCCCTGGATGTTGATGGGTGGCAAATCATATATACACAGTATTATATATGCATTGCCCGGTCAATTGAAATGGAATTGGATTCTGTCAAGGCATATCGATAGTGCTCCGGAATAAATCGCCGTGGAATAAGGACGAAGGGATGCGATGGGCTGGGCTGGCTGGCTTATGGTTGGATGGGTAAACTCACAGTCCGATTCATCGTTGTCATCGCAGTTGAATGACACAAATTTTTATTGCCTTTTCAACGTTCGATGGACGACCGGCGAGAGCATATTAATACGGATACCTCAACCAATCTGAAGTTTTACCAGTACGTCAGGTCAAAGCACTCACTGTTAGGGATGGCAAAATGTGGTTGATATTGAAACAGAAGGAATCTTTGGGTAATATTTACCTTTATTTTACCTTTTACTAAAAATGTTATTTAATTCAAGGTTTACTTTGTTAACTATATATCGAATGTTTTCTATTATAAAAAATTTAAGGATACTTTGATATCTCCATATCCTATCCAATATTTCCATCTTATAAACATATCCAGTGACCATACTTTCCCGATTTTTACATGTATGTCTATCTAACTATAGAGTGCGTGTGCAGCAGACCAAACCGCAGACAATAATGCACAATAATTATATAATAGAGCTATTACCTGAACACAAAATTGCCTTCGTCAAGGCAGCAAAGCCACAATTTTTTCCTTTTCCCCTTTTTTCTCTGCCTTTTTCAAAAATTTACTTGATGGGTTTTCGATGCGAATTATGGTCTGGAGATGCGGTAGGCCCAAATGCAACCCCTCTAAGCTGAAAAAAAAAAAGCGTAGAGGAGACTTTGGGCCAAAAACTGTCACAGCAAATATTTTTCGACATCCCATCCGAAATGTGCCGGAATCAGTCAGACGTAGCTTAAGAGCTTCATCCCCAGCCACGCCCACACACACTTTCTCATATGATGGAGGCCTGGCTGTCGGTGAAAAAAAGGACTTCGGGGCAGGACCCAGACCAAATGAAGGCAAAAGACCGCACTAAAGCTATTTTAACAAGGAAAGGGACTGGAAACAACAGCGGCGGCGGTGGCGGACTTCGAGAGCCAAAGAAAAGGGGAAAAACTCCATTTACGCTTGCTTAGTTCCTTTTAGTATAAAGTTTAAGCTTAATCCAGCATAAAATCAACTGGTAAATTTTTTATGTGCCCCCTCCTGTCCGTCCTGCCCGTCGATGTCCCCTATCAAAAAGATTAAAGAGTTAAATGTTATACTCGTTGCGACAGGCTGCGAATTGAGCCCAAAACTATATACTGGGCATGGAATATGATTATAGGGGTTCATTCATGCAATCTCTTCGCCACTCGGCCTGTTTTTCAGTTTTTTTTTTTATCACTCTCCCTCTATGCCACATAAGCCTGTTATGATGGAAAGGACATGTGATCTAATCAATTGGCTTACAATGAATTTGTCGATTGGGCCAAGCCCCAGTTTACAAAACTAAGCTAGGAGGCACTGCGAGAAATCGGGAATACAAAATAATTTTGTTCTTCTACAACGTTCGTTTGCTTGTGGTTTATTTAAAAATTTGACTTAGAAATTTAAGACATATGAAAACAACGATATTGTTGAGTTCAATCAAAATTGAATTTAACTTTCCAAAAACAATATTTAAGCTTTAGGCAATTCGCACGGATTAATTCTTCACTTTCTGCATCAATATAGGCAGTGATTCTTACATTGGTGCACAATTCTGAGACGATACTTTCCCCGTCTTCGCATGGATCTACAGGACATTGACCAGTCACTGTCCATTTGAACGTTTCCAGGCCAGTGTTTTGTGTTTCCATCAACTCGAAGATATTGCACAATGGCTTGTCCGGTATTACGTATGGAAGGACGAATGTGCATTTTTTCAGATCAAAGAATTCAATAAATGGTTCGCAGGTGTGCCGCGGGCACATTTCTGATAATGCACTAATTACCCAACCCGCGGTAGAATCGTCTTCGCACACTATTAAAAGGTGCTTGCCAAATTTTGCAAAAGACGTGCATATACTAAAACTAAGATCTGGTATGACACAGTGTTCGAAAAGTTTCGAGAAATGGGTCATAATTGCGTCTAAATCCACATCATCGCAACTATTCGAGTTAGTAATGACCAAACCGAAACGACGATCCTCCGGCATTGTCCTGGCATATGGTGGACGGTCATCTTGTTTTCCACAATTGTTCTTCCGACAGCAATCCTTAGTCTTATTCCTGCACATATTATTAGAATCTTTATTAGAATCTTCATCAAGATCTTCATCAGAGTCTTCATCAGAACAGCAAGCAGCAGGCTCGCTCTTGCATCCAACCATTTTTAGAAACTTTGATTCAAATATTTTCAAATCGTGTTTGCTCATCTGCTTCGGTAGTGCATCGTAGATCATTGCGGGTGCCTCATTGGCAATTACTCCCTGAACCTCTGAAACATCCTGGTAGCCAACAGATTCTAAAATAGAATTTGAACTTCTTGATACTGCAGAAGTATGAGAAACAGATATTGGCAGCCGTTCAACAGGTATTAGCTGCAGTGGTTCAGTGCCTCTTGCGTTTGTAGAGAACTGTAGAAAAGACACAAACGATCCTTTTTCGAATAGAGAGAACGCAACGCTATTGATGTCAGTTGTCGAAGGATCTTCCTTTGTCTTGAGACGCAACAAGCTGCACATTATTTGATCATCCTCCAGTGATCTGTCAAAGCTTTGTAAGTCCATGCGGGTTAAAGACAGTCCCATAATAACTTCTATCTTCTGTTTTAACTCTAAAACGGTTGCAGTAGGGGACAAAATAAAATCTTGAGTCTTCCTGGCCCCGCCTTTCTTTGGCCCACGTCTAATGGTTACAGTCATCATAACCATTTTGAATTGTGTAAAATAAAAAACTTTTGAAACTTTTCGAAAATTTTTACCAAACAAGTTTTCTTTTGTGAAAAATAATATTTAGATGTGAACGTTTTCAGACGTTCGAAAGAATGAACCTTTTTGATTTAGAACTTATTTAAATTTATTTGACGTTAGGCCATGGCACTCTAGACTGTGTTATGGTATGGCAAATTGCCTTTGAGAGCAAAAATAAAAGTTTATTCAGATGGGTTAAACGTTAATATTATACAAGTCTCTATATTAAGTAAAGCAAATAATTACTTTAAAATAATATTTAAAAAATTATAATTATTTCTGTTCTCATTGTTTTCTCTCAGTGCATGCGTTGAGCATGTACATATGGATCTGGCCAGACCCAAGTCCGGATTTCGGTACAGTTTCTGGTCCTGATTCTGGTTCAGGTGCGGTGCGTGCACCTGATGGCGGAAGCACGTCTGCCGGCCATTTTGTTTGGAATGTGAAATCAAACCGGAAATGTTAAAATATGCAGCTTACCTCTTACTCTCTTCGAGACCCTTCACCCTACCACACCCTCGACATCCGCCCCATTTGCATTGTCCTGCACGAATGTTGACGTTGGCTGGTGTCGACAGGCAGACTGAGGGCCACATTAAATGCCACCTGCAATACGTCAGAGATGACTGCCCAGCCAGATTTTAAATAAAATACAAAATTCGTGCGACCACTTGGGGAAGCTACTTGAACTAAGCTTCCGGTGGCTCTGTGTCTTTGTTATCCGGCCTTAAAGATTAGCAGTGAATCGGCTCAGAACCAAAACAATCGGCGCACTCGAATGATAAATGCTAGCACCGAAATGAACAGAAAACTTTTCATCCAGCAAATTGAAAATGTCTCACACAGCAAAGACATTTCAATGGAAAACTGTCTTTCGGGTGGGAAATCAATTGAGCAAATGTGAACAAGTGAATAAACTTAAATCTCTGTAAAAATATCCATTGTTTTAAGCACTACTTTGACATAAACTAGCTTTAGGTTATGCCAAAAAACTTGAGAAAATTATACTAATAATAATGGCCCACTCTTGGTAAGCTTTAAAGTTTATGATGGAAGATATTTACAGATTAAATGTCGTTTCATCATTGTTTGCCCCTTTCTTTAGTATCCATTACTTAAAGGGAATATCATTTCTCATAATTAGTTTACTTCATCTAACTTAGTCATCATCGAGGCAAAAATATATAAATTGGAATAGGCCCTGGAAACAAGTTCATATTTTGCTTACCAACTATTTTCCCATCTCAGTTGGCATTGCTTGATGAATCTCTTGAATATCCTTGTGAGTTTTGCTTTCTCGCCTTCTTTCTCACCTGACACATTTCTGTCCAACGCACAGGTAAATATAATTTCTCTGGGAAAAAAAACACTTTCAACTTTCTCTCGGGACCATTGATCTGCCCTGCATCAAAAGTTGCACCTGACTTCGATGTAGTTCTACCTTTTTTTTTTTTCACTATTATAAACTGATTTATTGGTTCATTTCCAGGCGCCTGGCTGAAGGACTAAGTGCATCGGGTTCAGTGGAAGTTGATCAGAGGGGAAAGACAGGGAGCAGAGTTGTGAGGCAAAGGTAGACAAGGTAAATTAGATTTGGCACTGCCTTGATGATGATGCATGCGACAAGTGAGTTAAGTTTCTGGCAAAAGAGAGATGGGTGGCACTAGGTATAGTGTCCATATATAGCCGGCTGCAACAGCTCAAACAATAAGAGCAACAGACGGCGAACGTAACTTTAAGCCGATATCAAATCTTTCAATAATTAATATGGCCCACAGCCACCCACGGAGAAAGGTGCACAGTGGCGTCGGGCTGGCTGGGCAAACAAACGCCAGCTCATAAATAAACACACAGAACGTTTCAGTTCGCAAAGTTTTCCATGCCGCGCACACACACACTGCCCAAAATCAACATTTACAAATTTTAGTTCCTCACCATAACCAAAAAAACAAGAATTGTCGTGAGCTATTTCAAGCTCAGCTGAAAAATACTAAATTTACTTGCTACGATTTTGGTTATTGGGACATACTTTTACTTTAAATTTTATACTCTTTATTTGTTTAATAGTAGATAAAATGCGGTCTAATGCTAAATTATAATCTATTTTTCCAAGTGTAAAACAGGCACACATCAGCACGTGTTCATTTCCGGCTACAGCGTTTACCGTGCATATCCTGCCGTGTATCCTTGGCCAACTCTCCTTCTGTTCTGCCCTGAACTCGACTCGTCTGGTCGGGTCTGCTCTGTTCTGTTGTATTGTATCCTGTAGCTGTTGCTTTTCCAGCGGTGGCTGCCTAAGCCGTGCTCCATCGTCGATACGGAAAGCTTTCAGATTTAATTTTAATTAGGTGCTATTGAATTTATAAATTTTTCAGCTGCTGTCGCTGTTGCCGTCCTGCGTCCTTTGTCCTTCGTCCTTCGTTCTTTGCCCTTCTATCCCCTTTTGGCTTCACCAACGTACACGACGAACTTTCCCAGCCATTGGCAAAAGTTTCCAAAGGGGAAGGGAAGAATCCCATCGGTGGCACCCTGCCTGTTGCCTGACACTAATAACAATAATCGCAAATTGTATTTTCATGAATTTTCAACTCGTAATTACTAATATTTCAAAATACATACAAATACATAATCTATATACACAGTACGGCCCGCTGCCACCCCCTCACGCAACCAAATAGAAGCCAAAACTGGCGCATAATTAAAATTTGTTGTCCACGCCCACTGTGAAAAGGGACGTTCGGCTGGATTTTGAACTGGGGTTTGGGGATTTACCTTTTACAATGAATAACAATGAACAATGTACATTAATTTTCCGTATTAATTGTTTATTTGCGCAGGCTGCATATTAAAATGTCTGCTAATCAATAATAAACCCCATTCGAAACAGATTATTTTTCGTTGGATAAAAGTCTTTTGGGAAAAGGTGGGCTTAATTGAGTTTTAAGTGATTCTTAAACCTTTCAATTAAAGGAAATATTAAAGGAGAATTGTGTCGGTTTACCTGCCAAAATAAGCTATATAGTTTTCAAGGAAATAAAATGTATGCCCTGTGACGTTTTAAGGAAAATCCTGAAACTAAAACTAAAATCGAATCGGAGAACAAAATGTGTCTGGCCTTTAGCCTTTCGATCGTTTTTTTATCAGGGGTATAATTTCCCTTCAACTAAAGGAAATATTAAATTGTGTCGGTTACCCAAAAAATAGTTTTCCAGAGAAATAAAATGTATGCCCGTACCTTGGCCTTTTAAGGAATCCGAAACTAAATAAATTCGAATCGGAGAACAAAATGTTTGGCCTTTAGCCTTTCGAGCGTATTTCTAACTCTTATCCGGTAGACAACACAACACAACCAAAGTAAAGCTAAAGAAGTTTGTACAGTGTAAGGAAAAGGTTTACCAATCGAGCCACGCTATCTACCAGGATTACTGGGTGCTGGAGAACTATGTGATGGCTGAACATGGACCACTAGCCTGCTATGACAATGTGACCTACACCACTCATGCGGACTATACGTATCTGGACAATGTGGTGCCCCTCCTGGAACGCTGGCAGTCACCTCTCAGCCTGGCCATTTATGCTCCTGGCACGGATTTCGAACGTAGTTTGGAGAGTATTCTATACCTACGACAGTGCCATCCTCGCAAGGAATTGGTTCGCCAATTGACCAGCTTCCATATTTACTTCAATGTAGAGCATTTGCCCCAAGTTGTGCTCTCACCCAAGAATGCTCTAATGAAGATGGCCAACTGCGGAGGTCCACCTCCATATGAGAATGTAAATAAGATGAATTTATATAGGACTCGGCAGGGGCTAGATTATCCAGTGAATATGGGACGCAACATCGCTCGAAAGGCTTCCTTAACCCACTACGTCTTGGCCTCCGACATCGAACTGTATCCCACGCCAGGATTGGTGCCGGACTTTTTGAATTTCCTGGGCCGCCTTGTAAGGTTTATTATAAATTTATTGATTTGGTACTGGAAGCCAATATATGTTTTTAAAGTCATATAAAAAGATAAGCTATGGTTTTGGTATCAAAGAGGTTGCTGAAAAATGTTATCTACTTTTTTGACCAACCATTTTTTTTTTTTTCACAGGTAATTGGACGACCAGGACAACAGCCCACATCGCCTGTAGTCCATGTACTGCGTATTTTCGAGGTCATGTCTAACATTTCAGTTCCAAACACCAAGCAGGAGTTACAAAAATTGCTCAAATCTGGAGAAGCCGTTCCATTTCACATGGAAATCTGTGAAGTCTGTCATCGGGGACCTCTGTTGGAGGAGTGGATAAATGCTACAGTGATCTCTGATGAACTGAACGTCTTCAATGTGGGACATCGTTTGGAACAGAATAACATGTGGGAGCCCGTGTTCATAGGCACCATAGAGGATCCGCCCTATGACGATCGTTTGACCTGGGAGGGCCAAAGAGACAAAATGACGCAGGCCTTTGCAATGTGCGTGCTGGATTATGAGTTCCACATCCTGGATAATGCCTATCTGGTCCATAAGCCGGGAATCAAGCAACCCGCTAAAAGCTATACCATCTTTCCACAAACTCGACGTAATAATTGCCTCATCCAAAAGAAAATCCTTAAAGAACTTAAGTTTATGTACGGCTCACGAAATGGTTGTGTTATTTAGGAGAGTTGTCTTGAAAGAAAGCAGAAGTGTAATATTGGAAAATTCCTTGTTAATTTATCTAATTTGCGTAGTAGCTTAAAATTAAATTATTATTCTTCTAAATTGGTTGGTTTTATTAACGATTCGATGAATAGAAAAATCATTCCAAACGTATTCCTTTTTCTATAGTGCCCTTTATAAGGCACTTAACATTTGCCAAGGCTTTGGGCAAAAGCATTTTCCGCTTCCGTCAATGTTTGTTTAACTTTTTCTGGTGTGCAGTTAACAAAAAAAAATCAACAGCAAACGCAACAGCATCAATAGTATAAAATATGAACTGCAAACCTAAATAAATATTTATTATTTGCAGCATTCTACTGGTTGGGTGTGTGTTTTGTGTATCAGAGCCATGAGAGAGAGAGAAATTTTTAGCTTAATTGAATATCAATTCATTTCCAAATGCGCACCAGTAAAGCGGGGGAATGGGTTTAGTAAAAAGAACTTTTCAGAGGCTGATTGGAGGGGCGAAGCAAAAGGGTTATGGAATATTTATAGCGCAAATTATTAGCATACAAAATGCAATTGATGCCCTCCAGTGATTAATTAAAATGTTTCCGAGCGCATATAAATTCATATTGTTTATTGCGGTTCACGTACGCAGACAAAATGCACTCGTGTGAGTGCTGAGTACGAGGTCATGCGCCATTTTTGTGGTTCACTGCACTCTGCGGATGACCCAAGTGTCCAATCGCATGACTCCTCGCACCCTGGTCATCTATCTGCCCTATCTGCTTTGATCATCAAATGCGGTTTAATAATAATTTTGGCTCAAGGACATCAAATCCAACTGAAAGCTTTCTCTGAATCTTGAAATTAAACAAACAAAATAAATAATTGATTTATTTGTACTTAATGGTAGAACTTTGTGGCTAATATTTCTAATTTCAATCGTATTTTGTGGCACTGACAAAATGGTTCTAAGGAAGGAATGGATTTGAAGGGGAAATATGATTAATATGTAATACATAACACATTTTTATCAACAAACAATCTTTATAAATGATTCCCTCCTTTCCCTCCTTCCTCATAATCCTGTATTATCGAATTCCCCATATAAAGCCAAGTATGAAAGTATATAGAAGCCAGCCTCCAGCTTGTTCGGAACCCTATAAAGTTGAAAATATCCACTACTAACCGCTGGCAAAACATAAATATGCACAAACCATAAAAAACTGACCAGAGCGAGATGCAGTGTCCTTCCCATTGCCCATCACAATGACATGGCAACTTGGCGAAACAAAGTGAGACGAAAAGTTTCCCAAAAAGACAAATGACCCTTAAAGTTGAAACTAACAGTGACTAAATGGAGACAAGAGCAAAAAATTTGTGTGTGCCCAGGGTGGGGTTACATACTAACATTTATACACGATAGAGGAAGGACTTGGTGGGTGGTGGACAAGGGGTTACTAGGATTGGAACGATGGATGAAGGAGTACGGAAAACGAAAGCAGCTGAAGCAGCATGAAAATCTTTTAATTGCTGCCACCAGTAGCCAAGCAAGCAAAAGCTTTCCATTTGTCTTCCAGCCAACTGCTGACGTTGTTGGATCTGCCTCAAAAAAAAAAAAAAAACAAAACAGAAAGAGACAACCTGCTCGATTATGTCCGCTGTGTAAGAACGAGATGGGGGGACAGAGCCTGGGGCCGCGTGAAATTGCAAAACTGTTTCACCTGAATGCACTAGGCTCCGTACTCCAGATGCCCATTCTCAGAACACATCTGAGAACTTTTGCTCAATAAGACAATGACAAATCCGCAAACAAGAAACTAGTTGGCATCAAAAAAGGTCGACAAGTAGTGTCCTGTTTTAAATATTTCCCAGCTGAGACATAATAACAGATTCATTGATGATCATATAACCTCTTAAAACACCTTTACCTCTTTATAATATTTCTAGAGTTTGTTTAGTAATCAATACTATGTTTGATTTGGGATCTGTTCAGCTTAGCGCTAATTGAATTTCCCAGAAACATTTTATCGCTTTTTCTTGCCTCGAGCTTCTTGTGAAAATTTCGCTCGAATAATATGCAAACAAGCTTAAATGTCCCAAATCACCTTATCGTTTAGGCTCAAACACTTTATAGTTCAAGGAAAACTCGAAAATGCTACTCGACCCAAGATGCCCCATTGACAGCCTCTAGCATTGACCACAATGAAGGGCAGAAACAGAGAGCACCATTCAATAAGTCCTTTGGCCCCAGCAGAAAACCCCAATTTCCCAGCTACCTCTATTGTTATAGAGTATGAAAAACTAGGGAAAAAGCAACGAGCGAAATAAACAAAACGTGGAAAATACAAAAGTAGCCAAGAAAAAACTAACAAAAAAAGTGAACAACAGCTGGGGAAGAACTCCAAACAATAGGCAGCCGTCAAAGTGAGCGATTGTTAAAACGTGTCGAGGCATCAATAGAGGGTCCAAGTGGACACCGAACCAGGGGCTAATTCCCCGAATGCTTGGCAGTTCACCCAGAGAGATCAGTCTATTAGCCTAGTGAATTAATAATTTTGCATGAAATTAAGTCTTGAGATAAAATAAAATATATTAACATTTTTTTATATTAACATTTCCTATTAAAGTTACAACTTTTTGAATGATATTTTCATACACATAATATGTTAGACATTTCACAGAGACACTTTATTGGAATGTAGTTTGTAGTTGTTTCTTGCAAAATATTGCGGCATTTATCAGGAAGTCGGTTGAGCCAGATGGACAAACTCTGGGATTTTCCTCAAACCAAAACCGAGTTCGGCATCAATTTTCCCTTTGAATAAAAGATTGAAAAGATGCGTTGGCATACAGATGCTTTTGTGCCATAGAAATTGCTGTTTGAAGATGGCCAGAAAAGTTTCTTAAGATGCTGCCCCTCCTTTAAAAGCTGAGCTTAAGCAAACAGCTGCCATTGAATGAATATCTTTTCCATACAAAATGCCATATGGATGGGTTGAGCGTCTTAAGAAAATTGTAATTTTGATGTCAAACAACGATTAAAAGCAACGAGATTACCTGATGCATATTGCATGAATGCATTTATTGTGTTTGCCCAGAGTCTCTGCTGCTTCGTCCTGTTGGCATATCCTCACTGATCCGGAGTGGTGGATGGAGGAATGGAGCAGTGAAGGAGCCCAGGCAGACATCGTTGAGCTCATTTGCACTTTGACGCGTCCTCAGCTCAGAATTCCATGACACGGCATCGTGTGGCAGGACGAAACAGGACGAAACTGCAGCGTCAGACAGGTGCAGATGCAGGTGCAGCTGACGGCAATGACGATGTTAACGAGTCCACAAAACAGCTCCAAAGAACTTGGCACCACCCCTCTGTTGGACCGCAGACCCAAAACCAGCCAGTTGCCCCCCTCGTTTGCCCCCGCAAATCGATGCAAATAAGCAAAAGGCGCCGCTATTGCCCAGTTTAGGGTTTGAGTCCCCAAAAGCCGATCACGCTTTGATGCCCTAACAGAGGGTATTTTAATTATCGGAAGAAGTTTAAGAACAGCTTAGCCTTTTATCTATAAATTAAATGCCTTACGTTACCAATTACTACAAACTTTGCCTCAACAGGATTGAATTTTTCTATATTTGATATTTCATAGTAATCAATGTTAAAATGAAATTCTATTTACCAAAAACTCCCATGAAAACAATCCTTTTAGAGTATTTAAAGCGTCATAAGCTAACCTTATATCCAGATTCAATGCATTTTTTTTGCCGCTTGCTAGTTGCTGTTTCAATTTTTTTGACTCGTGTTGTCGGTTAGCGAAAATTTCAACCGCAATGTTCAGCGGAACAGGAGGAGAAAATCTGTTAAAATTTCAGCAGTGGCAATAGGCGCTTAAAAAAAGCTAATGGAACATATGGCTGCCGGAGCAAGGGCCAAGCGGATCTTAACCCACTCATGCCACCACATATACCCACAAAACTGAAAGGGGGTTTCGAATGCCCCATCGCCATTCTAAATGTTTTTGTGCATTGAAATATGTTTTGTTGTGTAGAAAATTATTAAGATTACTCATACGCCACGTTGGTCACTTTAAATAAAGTAAAAGGATAAACATCATATTCATAACGTGATTATTTTTAGCTTTTAAAGTCACGTTTACCCGAAATATAATGTTTCTTATCTTAAATCTTACCCTCACTGCGTATGAGTAATAAATATATATTAAATATCACTCATACGCAGTGTGCATGGAATATATATATATAATTTAAAATTATTCGGTTAACAAGTTTTTATCTCTATTAATCTATTTAACAGCCATTCATTTTTCTAGGATTTGTTACAACACTTTTTTACAGTGCAGCCTCTCCACGTACAATTTCCGGCTGAACACATTTTGTGGTCGGGCGCAAATGCATTTATATTTGAGCAGCAGCAGCAACAGCAACAACAACAAGGGATCACGGGGAAGAGAAAGAGAAAGCTGGGAATGGGGCGGAAAAAGGGTTTCGGAAGGGGGAAAACAGAGTGAAGTTACCATCGGCGACGCTTTGGAAAGCTTAAGCCATTTCATTTTTGGTTCGTTGGCGTTTGTAGCATTTGCTATTTTGCACTATTTTTATGACTCACTGCGGGGGCAGCTGTGGCTCGAAGGGCCGCAGGAGGAGTTAAGGCGAACGGAATCCGAGAGGCTGCAACTTGGAGCAGTCGCTCGACCAGCCACGGGGCACTCATATTTCTTGAAACTCATACAAACACTCACAAAAACTAATAGAGAGGACCATCGAGAGGCGAGCAAAATAAACATTGGCAAGCTCGAGAGCAAATACAACAAAAAACCGATCAATAAATATGGTTGATTTTCTTTTTTACATCCTGAAATTGCCTTATTGTAATTATTTCATAGGAGGATGTTTGGTTAGGGAAACAAATAGCTTGGGCTAATCTATATGTCCAACAATGGGTTAGGAAAGTGAGAGATTTCTATAATCATTTTTCGGTGAATAGATTAATTCATAAGAAAGAAATTTCGGATAAG